TCTTCCGGACAGGCATTTGGGGACAACCTTAATCCTGAAAGGGGATATGGTAGAAATGATTCTCATCATAAAAAGCCTTTTGTAACTATATCAGACATAAGCCTTAGAACTCAGCCCTCTCAATTGCCACCACCCTCTCGACCACCGCCCATAGTAGATGGAAACAGTGGAGATTCCGGTAGATTGTCTTCAAATTCTGACACTGTAGCTTCTGATGGGACTACAGGTGATAGTTCACCTCCTTTCTTTGATGTAGAGGTAGATGCAAGTTCATCTGCTGCAGTATCTGCAGCAGCTATGAAAGAAGCAATGGAGAAAGCCAAAGTACAATTGAAAAGTGCAAAAGAGTTAATGCAGAGGAGGAAAGAGGGTTTCCAAAGGCGTACAAAATCCAGGTCAAAGAAAGAAATGAAAGAGAAAGAAAGAAAGGTGGGTGAAATTGTTGATGCTTCCAACAGTATGAAAGATGATAGAGTGCAGAGCACTTCTGAAAGAGAAGACAGTGGAATGAAATTTGCTGTTAGGAAGGAAAGACAAAAGGTGTTGAAGACAGCCAGAGAAGTTCCAGAATCTCTAGAAGATGAAAATTCATTAAATGTGGCTAAAAATTTTGCACAAGAGAAGCATGGGAAGGGATCTTGGTCATCTCAGGGGTCTTTCAAAATTGATAAAGCTAGTGAATGGCAAGAAGCAACTCAATATTTTGAATTGGTGGCAATAGATGAGTCCAGGAAGGCTTTTGAGCAGGAAAACAAAGAGAAGATTTTGGTTCAGAACAGAAAAAGTTATGAGCATAGGCAGAAAGAAAAAGCAACCATGGAAGCATTGGTGCAGCAAGAAGAAAATGATAAGAAAGTAAGAGCAGCTATAGAAGAAGAATTAGGGAAGCAACCTCGTGAATGGGAGGAATGCAGTGCAAAATTAAAAGCTGCTAAAGAGGCATGCAGGAGAAAAGAGCCTGAGAAAAAGGTGAAAGTGACTCATGAAATTCGTGAGGAGGGACAGAATGAGATGAGTCCTAGCATGGGTACACTGCCTGCAGAATCTGAGAAGCAAAGAGACATGGTGGTAGAGGTTCAAGATAAAGAAATTAAGTTCAAAGTTGAGCAGGCCAGGAAGCAGAAAGAAAATGATAAAAGAATTAGAAGTGACAAAAGACTCAAGGAATCTTGTGAAAGGGAAGATTTGGAAAGGAGACAAGAAGAAGCTTTGGAGCAGGAAGAGAATGAAAGAAGGCTTAAAGAGGCATTGAAACAAGCAGAAAATGAGAAGAGACTGAAGAAGGTTCTTGAGCAGGAAGAAAATGAGAAGAGGTTAAAGGAGGCTCTTGAGCAGGCAGAAAATGAGAAAAGGCTAAAAAAGGCTCTTGAGTTGCAAGAGAAGGAGAAGAAATTAATAGAGGCTTTTGAATTGGAAAATAAGAAGAAACAGAAAGAGGCTACTCAAAGAGAAGAAAATGAGAAGCGGCAAAAAGAAGCTCTCGAGAGGGAAGAGTATGAGAAGAGACAAAAAGAGGCTTTTGAATGGGCAAATAAGAAGAAACAGAAAGAGGCTGCTCAAAGAGAAGAAAATGAGAAGCGGCAAAAAGAATCTCTCGAGAGGGAAGAGTATGAGAAGAGACAAAAAGAGGCTTTTGAATGGGAAAATAAAAAGAAACAGAAAGAGGCTACTCAAAGAGAAGAAAACGAAAAGCGGCTAAAAGAAGCTCTTGAGAGGGAAGAATATGAGAAGAGTCAAAAAGATGCCCGTGAAAGAGAGGAAAGTGAACAAAGATTTGAAATGGCCCATGCGCGGGATCAGCAATATGACAAAAAAGGATTAATGGAGGCTAAGGACATAGAAAGAACTGATGTAACATTAAAGGAAGTGTTTGGGAAAGTAGAAAATCAGAACATAAGAAAGGCTAGTGAGTCGGAACAGACTGGGAAGACTGTTAAAGTTGCTGGTGACTGGGAAGAACAGAAGGTCCGAAACAAAACAAATGAGGGAACAGAGAGGAATGAAAATGGTCAGGAACCAAGATCAGTTAAAGGCTTGCACATGGAAGAGGGGGATCTAAGGGTATCTGATGAAACATGTAACCAAGGTTGTAATAAGGACTCTCAAGCAACTCAAATAGCCAGCAAACATGATGAAAACAGTGAAACAACGGAAGCAACTCAAAAGGGCCCCACTCATGAAGAAAATGTAGAGAAAAGGACTGAACACAAAATTAGTGATACACAACCAGAAGTAGTTGAACGAGTAAGTGTGTCGACTGACTTAAAATTCCAAGCATCTAGAGTTTCCCTAGAGGATTTAGAAAATGGAGAGAACCGGTTCAGAAGGGAAGATTCCAATGTTTCTCTTCCTTTAGATGATAGTGTGAAGAAAGCAAGGGAAGAAATTAGGGCTGAACCTAAAGCTAGCAAAAGGGAATTGGGGGAATTTGAAATGGAAAATGGGCAGGTTGATGAAAAGTTCAAAGCATCTGGCATGGCCCAAGGAGACATAGAACACGGGAATAGCCAAGTTAGAGTGGATGATGCCTACGAGTCAATTCCTTTAGCTAAGCACACGAAGACGGCAGGAGAAGCTGGCAGTGGCATTGGACAACCACAAGTTGAGCAATATAAGAGTACCTCTCGAATGGATTTTGATCATGAAACTAAAAAGATGGAATTTGTTCAGGAATGGAAAGAGGGTGAAAAGGACTTGAAGGGAGTCCAAGCTACCTCAAGTCGGGAAGAAAACAGGACAGCGAACTCGACCCCTGAACTGGTGAAAGAGTTTGTTGAAAATAAAAGGAAAACAGAAGCAGCTTATCCAGTCATGGTAGAAGTAAAAAGCCAGAGATCATCTCAGCAAGTTAATTCAAGCCAGCCGCCAGAGAGAAAAGATAAGAATCTTAAAGAGACCCTTAAAAATGGGGAGAAAGAAACTGAAAGGTTGAAAAGAGAAAGAGAGCTCGAAAATGATCGCCATAGAAAGATAGAGGAAGAAAGAGAAAGAGAACGGGAAAGAGAAAAGGATAGGATGGCTGTTGACAGAGCAACACTTGAAGCTCGTGAATGGGCATATGGGGAAGTTCGTGAGAGGGCAGAAAGGGCTGCTGTGGAGAGAGCAACAGCTGAAGCTCGACAAAGAGCAATGGTAGAGGCTCGTGAAAGATTAGAGAAGGCATGCACAGAGGCCAGGGAGAAGTCAATAGCAGGGAAGGCAGCTATGGAGGCCAGGCTTAAGGCAGAGCGTGCTGCAGTAGAGAGAGCAACTGCAGAGGCCCGAGAGCGTGCTGCAGAAAAAGTAATGGCTGAAAGGGCTGCTTTTGAGGCAAGAGAACGAGTGCAAAGATCTGTTTCTGATAAGTTCTTTGTTTCTTCTAGAAATAACGGTTTGAGACATTGTTCTTCATCCTCGGTGAGTATTCTTTTTTCTGCTGGATTCGTCCCCCTTTTAATTAATTCATAATCTTCAACAGAAATCTAATATGGCTGTTAATTCATAGGATCTACAGGACTCACAATTTCAGAGCACTGGGGGTTCAAGATATCCATATTCCTCAGTTTATGCTGGTATGTGATTTGTAATGCTCCAGTGGTTATTTCATGCAGTGCAAATCTTTCTTTGAGCTTCTCTTCAGTTTCCATTAACATTTGACTTATGCTTGGTTGTTTCTACATTAATGGTCTTTTCTGAAACTTTCTTCTATTACAAAGAGAGATATGACGGAGTTGAAGGTGAATCAGCTCAAAGGTGTAAAGCAAGACTAGAGAGGCATGCTAGAACAGCCGAACGAGCGGTATGATTTTAAATCATTTATAATCTTTGAGCGGTTTAGTCTATACGGAAACATTATAATTTCAAGTTTTGTGGGACTGTTTCAGGCAAGAGCTCTTGCAGAGAAGAATATGCGTGATCTTCTTGCACAAAGAGAGCAAGCAGAGAGAAATGTAATTATTCTGTCCACGTTAAATGAATTTCTGGAACTTTGAATTGTATTTCATTTCTCGCTGATTGGCTTGGATCTAATTCTGTTTGCAGAGATTAGCCGAGAATCTGGACGCAGATGTCAGGAGGTGGTCAAGTGGAAAAGAAGGCAACTTGCGTGCATTACTTTCGACTTTGCAATATGTAGGTGTTATTTGAGCTACATGTGTTTTGCAATTTGTAGGTGTTATGATGTTTAGGCTCTAGCGTTGGGAACTTGAACTCATTTTTCTTCATTGGCAGATCCTTGGGTCTGATAGTGGTTGGCAGCCTATTCCCTTAACGGACGTCATAACTGCTGCTGCTGTAAAGAAAGCTTACAGGAAGGCCACTCTTTGTGTTCATCCTGATAAGTTGCAACAACGGGGGGCAAGCATTCAACAGAAGTACATATGTGAAAAAGTTTTCGATCTTCTAAAGGTGCGTTAACTGCCATTTTCTTTTGTGGCTTGGAATAATTATTACCAGAACTGGCGGGACGTTTTCGCAAAGCATATATGAAAAAGTACAACAAATGGGTCTTGTTTGTGATTTCGTTTTCTTCACTTTGTCTTATTTCGTTAGTTTTTTTTTGTTCACTACAGGAAGCATGGAACAAATTCAACTCAGAAGAGCGGTAACACATGCTTTAAATATGCAGATATACTGCACATTATGTAATTTTATACAACTAGTAATTATATATATATATATCCATGTAGTTTCTGTAGTAAGCTTTAAAAGCTCCAAAAATAGTTTTGCGGCAAATATAATTGAATGAAATATGGGTGTTGTATGTTCAAACTTGGAAGCCCCACCAAACTCTAAACTAAAGTACATTAAGCACAGAAGCCATACAAAAAGATTCCTTAACATCTCCACCAGGCCAAATTTAAATAAATTTCATTAAAAAAATTCAGGAAAGGTGATTAGCTCTATTTAGCATGTGACAATTATCACGTCTGTTATGACCTCACGACATGCCGTGTGTGCTTTGCTGGGGTTGCTTTGGCTTGTTCCTTGGCTTAGTTTGACCCTTTTCTTGTGGCATTTCCGTGGTGTGTTTTTGTTTGCTTGGTGCTCTGTTACTTTTAACCCTTTTTTTAATTTAGAACAAGCGATTAGGGGAGGGGGTTTACACATATATTCATTGGGTGTTTGGAGGTTTCGAAACTTTGCCCACATGAAGTTGAAGTGGAAGAGCTCAACCAACTCAATTATACCTGATCATCTCACCTCAACCAATTGAGCTATACCCCATAACCTAGCCTTTTCTTTCTTGGTTTCTCTTGTGGTGCCCCAAGTTTCTATCTTTCTTTGGTGTGTATTACTTTTTTTATTTAAAAGAAGAAAGAAAAAAGACACGTTGCATGACGCTTGCACCATTTTTATGAGCCATGTGTCTCTTCCGGCATTCGACCAAACGCTGGTGTCGTTATTCTTTAATATTTGCCGTATCAGACTTGGCTTATGTTAAGTTACTGTAATCTATACTTTTCTCCCAACATATTGGAAAAGAAAGCAACCCAATTTCTTTATTTTATAATTGGGCCTACCCTAATGCCCCGTGACCAAATTCATGACCACCTTAACTCGTCCTATACGCTTCCTTTGCCTTCCCGCCAAATGCAATTTCAAGGGCTTACACACCCACCACCTGTTCGATGAAACGTCTCAAAAAGACATCTACTCGCTAAACGCACTGCTTGCCTCATATACCCGGAATGGACAATTTTCCACCACATGGGCTCTCTTCTCTTGCATTCATCGCGCGAAATCCGACCTCAATGCCTACACTTTCACTCCAGTATTGGGCGCGTGCAGGGCGTTGCCCCGCCCCGAAAGCGGCAGACAAGTCCATGGTCTTATGATCAAGACGGGTGCTGAGTCAGGAACTGTGGCTAAGACTGCCGTCATGGACATGTACGCCAAGTACGGGTATTTGGAGGACTCTGTTAGAGCCTTTGAAGAGATGGAGTTCAAGGATGTTGTGACTTGGAACGCCTTGCTTTCTAGCTTTTTGAGGCACGGGCTTGCTCGAGAAGCGCTTGGTGCGTTTGAAGCAATGAGGGAGGAAAGAGTGGAGATCAGCGAGTTTACTTTGTGTTCTCTGCTTAAAGCTTGTGCCTCTTTGAAGGCCTCTCCACAAGGCAAGCAGGTTCATGGGATGGTGGTTGTGATGGGCCGTGATATGTTAATTTTGGGTACTGCTTTGATTGACTTTTACTCTGCTGTTGGGTGTATTAGTGAAGCCATGAAAGTGTTCTCCGGCTTGAATTGTAGAAAGGATGATGCAATGTTCAATTCTTTAGTTGCAGGGTGTGTTCGGAACCAGAAGTACAAAGAGGCATTATCGATTATGTCTACAATGAAACCCAATGTAATTGCACTCACTAGCGCTCTTGCTGCTTGCTCTGAGAATTCAAATTTGTGGATTGGAAAGCAGATACACTGCGTGGCGATGCGTCACGGGTTCACATCCGACACACAAATGTGTAATGTTCTGCTAGACATGTATGCAAAATGTGGGAAAATTTCAAATGCTCGATCCTTGTTCAATGGAATTTCTAACAAAAATGTAGTTTCGTGGACAAGCATGATTGATGCATATGGAAGTCATGGAAATGGGCTGGAAGCTCTTGACCTTTTCAAGAGGATGGGGGAGGAAAGAAGTGAAGTATTGCCTAATTCTGTGACTTTTCTTGCTGTTCTCTCAGCTTGTGGGCACTCAGGGCTGGTGGAGCAAGGCCGGGAATGTTTTAATTCGGCCCCGGAGAAGTATGGCTTGGACTTGGGTCCAGAGCACTATGGCTGCTTCATCGATATGTTAGGCCGGGCCGGTCAGATAGATGAAGTGTGGTGTGTGTTTCAGGACATGGTTGAGCATGGCATTAGGCCTACAGTAGCAGTGTGGTCAGCATTGTTGAATGCTTGTGGCCATAATCTCGATGTTGCAAGGGGTGAGGTTGCTGCAAAGCATCTTTTGGAGTTGGAGCCAAATAAGCCTGGGAATTTTGTGCTGGTATCAAATTTTTATGCAACCATTGGAAGGTGGGATTCTGTAGATCAATTGAGAAGCATTATGGAGATGAAAGGACTGGCTAAGGAAGTTGGAAGTAGCTGGGTCACTGACTCGAAATGCCATGAAAGTGATTTTACATAATTTGTTTGAAAGGCAGAATATGGTTATATCTCCCGTGACATAATGTAAAAACCGTGAACTCAACCGGTCAAGTCCGGTCCAGTTCCATTTTTAGTCAAAAGCCGACTTTTCTTCAACTTTCACACCAGCTTTTTTTTTCTTTCTAAAATAGTACAAGCGATGATTTAAACTACAAGAGAAGGGAGTTTCTCACACGCACAACCAAGATGTCAAGGGGGTTTCGAACCTTTGACCTCTTATCTTCAAATTAATGTTATTTTCCACTAAGTTAGACCCAATTGATTCCCCAACTACATTAAAATTGTGTAAATTGTGAGGATGTATTAAAATTTAAAAATAGTACACTATTTGGTTGGTTAATGAAGTGGACAATGTGGACAATGAAAGGACAACGACTGAGATGCACACATGATCACAAGACAAAGTAATTCATGTTTGGTAGGGTTGACACGAGCCAAATGTGAACGCTAGTTCAACTTAAATTGAGTGGCTCCAAATGAAACCAAGTCTCCTGAGATATTAAAATGACATGAGAATCTAAGCCCACACTCCTGGGGCCCACTTAGATTCAAGAATCTTGATAACGTGGCTTTCTTTTTCTTTGACACACTCAATGTATGATATTTATACCTACAATATAGTTAACGCACGGCAACGGCACTGATTATAACATAATATTCAATTTATCACAAATATATATTATCGTTCGTTAGTTGAACACGAGACCTCTAACAAAATAAAAACTACTACTATTAGATCAAAAGTTAGTTGATTTTTGGATCGTAACTTTACCAAACTTTATCATTCTTCTCATTCAAAGAAAAATTAAATACGGTAGAAAAGAAAAGAGAGTAATTAAATACGGTAGAAAAGAAAATAGAGTTAAGTGAAAGCCAAGGAAAATAAAATAGCGTTGATGTTTCAAAGCAACCAAGGAAGAAGAACAAGCCTATAAGACTGATTCCCCACTTAACAACGTGCTCATTCAAGCGTCTTCCCCAAGCCAAAAGTCTCAACCTTGACCCCGCCAAAGTGCCAACCGCCTCCAAACACACGGCCCCATTCAAATAAGTGAAATGGCAACAACAAACGACGTCGTCCCTGCCATGTGGAACACAATTAACACATGAAGGATCTCGAATGCTTTGGGCTTTTCCGTCATACAATACACATAAGCAACCTTGTAGGCGACTGTGTCACGGCCACCACGACATTTATGGTAATGCTCTCGTTGTTAGGTTAAAGTATATGATAAATTTGGAATTTTTAAAATTGTGTGAGAATACAATGGGTAAAAAATATGAATTCCTAATGGGTTAGTTTTTCAGGAATTAGAATACCACCTCCCATCCAAAAATTGAATTCCTAAAAAACAACAATCATATCCCTTATATCTTTCTTCAATCTAAAATGTGATTCAAAACAAAAACCAAAGCGTATTCTAAGGGGCTAGTTTTAATTTAATCTAATTTTGAATTTTGCATATATAAGTTCAGTGAGTTGGCTAGGATAATGAGACCGCTTCTCTTGTACTCTCAAATGCGAGTTTACCTCTTCCTAAATTAGATTCATTTATTTCCAACCTAAAAAAAATATTTAAAATAGTTAACAGCGTGGTTTGTACTATAAAAAATCTTGAATTTTGAATTAAATAAATAATATAAGAAGCAAAATCTTGGTGGACACTTCGACGTTCGTAGCCTCCAAGAATAGGAAAGAAGTGTTTGAAATATTTGCGGGGACCGTGTGTGAGCGAGACCAAATAGCTAAGCAGCACAGAGAAAAAGAGGCGGTCGTTGCGATAGAGCCTTTTTAGAGATTCAGACAAAAACAAATTTAATTTACCCCAAAAAAAAAACAGGAAACCTGGAGAGGTTCATCATCTCGGTGATGGAAGAAGGGCGGTGATGACTGGCGAACCCCAAAATATCAAAGCCCATAAATACCTAGAAACTCGATAATGGTGCTTTGCAATTGCATCATCCCTCCCTCCCTTCCTCTCACCTGAACCGCTTTCCCCTCACTCTCTCCTCCTTCCTCGGCTCCACTGGTACGCCTTTGTTCTATTTCCGATCTTCGTTTTCTGTTCTTGTTTCTACTTTTCCTTTTTGAATCTTGTTTGCTTTAGTTTTTTGAATTTTTGTTCGTGTTTGGTTGCTGAGAATCGGCGCCTCCACGAAAATGGGAGGCTTTTCTGACTTTTCTCAGGAACCAAACATAGCTTTGCGCTCTTCCAGATTCGGTTTATATGTTTATTTTTGTGTGTGGTTATTTTGTATGTTTTGATCGACCGACCGCCAACTTCTTCCGGATATATAAAAAAAGAAGGAAAAAAAATATTTGCTTTAGGTTTTTACTAGCTTCCTAGCAATTAAAGGAATTAGAGATGTTTGGTTTTGGGATGTTCAATTGATTTGGTAATAACAGCTAGGGTTTTATTTTTGTTGTTGATTTGGACGTTTGATGATGATGGTGATGCAGAGCCATGCCGACTTTCACTGTCATAGCTTTAGATAGGTTATTAGAACCTGGAACTTCTTCCAAATCCGTTGACATGTCTTCTCTTCCGAATTCCAAGCCTATTTCAAATTCAATGCCGGTTCCTGAGTCCAAGCTGGAGAGAAGGAAAAGTACCTCAGTTGTGGAGAACAGGCTTCATCGACCTCCAATAAAGCCAGCCCTCTATACTACTCCTGAGGCCACCCCACTCCCTGATTCACCTACTTCCTTCCCTCCCTCGCCTTACATCATCAACCACAAGCGCCGAGGCCCTCGCCTTCTCAAGAGTTATTCCGAGCAGGATGTATCCATACACCAGAAGGCCGGAAATGAAGAGAAACTCAATGGGGATGTCAACAATGCAGAGCCCAAGTTGTCGAGTTCAACTGTGGATGATTCAGCTACTTTTACTTTTCCCAAGCCTGTTGAAGTGCAACATTCGAATGGCGTTCATCATTTTGAAAGCAGCAATGGGAAGCTTGGGACAAGTAATGGGAAACTTAGAAGCAGTAATGTGGAACTGGGTGGTAGTAGTGAGCGTGAAGATAGCTTCCATGAGTCGAAAAAGAGAAGCAGTAATGTGGAACTGGGTGGTAGTAGTGAGCGTGCAGATAGCTTCCATCAGTCGAAAAAGAGAAGCAGTAACGTGGAACTAAGTAAAGATTCGGATAGGGATGATGATTTGTGGAAGCAACCTGCGATGACTCCAGAAAGAGATAGTGACCGTGAAGATTTTTTTGATCCAAAAGACTCCATGAGTGTCTCAAGTTACACAGATGGAGAGGTAAATGCTGGGGCAGAGCGTTCTGCGCAGACAAGTACACCCATGGGGGAGTTCTATGATGCTTGGGATGGTATGTAGCTTTTTTTTTTTGGTAAAATTTATTTCCTTCCATTTGTTTGTATGTTTTAACTATCTTGATTATGTTATGTCCATATATCCGAGAATTATTGCCCATCATGATTGAAGATTGGAACATACTGGTTTTGCCATTGGTTGGTGTCTTAAGTACACAGAATTTGGTGCATTTTTCTTTGCCCCTCTCTCTATATATATGTAGGTTTGTGCAATTGTGTGGTATCATATCGTTTTCAGCTCTTATGTCAATTTGGATTTGTGTTGAGAGCGTCAACTGTAACTCTACCTATTTAATTAATCATGTTAGATGACTTGACAATAAATTAACTTGACTCATTTGTTAACTGTCTTGTTTTGGTTGACATACATATTTCATGAATTAGAAACTCAAGATTGGGATCCTTTCACCTTAAACCAAACTCAATACTTGTCATACAGTAAAAATGACCCGATCCAAATAAAAGCAAAAGTTGAAAATCAAGGGTAAGAAAATATAGTTCTAAAACAACTCATACAATACCAAGAAAATGAAAGAAATAATAAAATAAAATAAAAAGATAAAACGTTTTCTTCAAACAATACTAGTTAAGATCTCATGTCAAAATAGGAATTTCATGTTCATAATTAATCTAGTGCATTTGGCATTCAAATATGTTGTGTTATTTTCGGATTCATTAGCTAACTCTAACTTGTCCTACCCAAAAAAAATACTAAATCAGAACTTGTTAATTTTTATTGGGTTCAAGTTGTGTTACTGTGTCATGTTGAATGTTAATTTTTCGTCTTTTGCCGAAAAATGACATCCCTATCTTTTTGTGGCCTATAAATGTTGCATTATCTGTGAGATTAGCACTAAGTCTCTAATTATGATTAAAGGCACGAACATGCTGTTTCCCATTGAAATATCAGAGTATGGGAAATTTCGAAATGGCATAGAAGGGAAATTAAAGTATAGCATTCTGTGCATATGTTCTGCATGTGTGATATCCTATGCATTATAAGTCCACCTAGTTTCTCCTGTTCTGAAGTTTGGTTATAAATTACAAAAGGATTTCCCAAATTTGTAGATTTTATTCTTCAGTTTTCGGTAATCCACCTTGCTCTACATGTGCACTGTCAGTGATTGTGTTTTCAGTAAAGCTTACTTTTACTGTTACTTTGTATAGAACTTTCATCTGAGAGTGGGCATGGGCAGCAGCTTTCCATTTCTGATGTTGAAGCTGAATTACGTGAAATGAGATTGAGTCTTTTGATGGAAATAGAGAAGCGGAAGCAAGCAGAAGAATCCTTGAATAACTTGCGAAACCAGTGGCAGAGGATTAGGCAACATTTATCTCTTGTAGGATTGACACTCCCTGCAGATCCCACTGCTGCAGCAGGGCATGAGGAACTAGGTTCTGATCCTGCAGAAGAGTTGTGCCAACAAGTTCATCTTGCTAGGTTTGTATCAAATTCTATTGGAAGGGGCATAATAAGGGCTGAGATGGAGATGGAGATGGAAGCTCAGGTTGAGTCAAAGAACTTTGAGATTGCTCGGTTGGTGGACAAACTCCGTAATTATGAGGCTATGAATCAGGAAATGGTTCAGAGGAATCAGGACGTTCTCGGTGAGATTTTTATACTTTATGCAGTTGTTTATTTGTTGATTACTAAGGCTTTAGTTCCCTTTTAGAGACGACATTATGTCGTTAAATCATAATCCTTCACAAGGTCCGCTTCAGTTGAACTCTGTAATTTTCCCCATGCTTAACCTGTAACCCTCTGTAGGTTTGAACGAATTGTTTCATTAGTTAGCGGGTTCAAAGTAACAGGACAGCCCAGTCCTTGACAAAATGCAACTTCTCTATGGACGTAATTTTAACAGTTTTCTCTGTGTGGCCAAATATTGACTACCATGCACCTGTGCATCCATACCCTACTCAATGTGCATTAGTGCAAGTTCTCTGTTTCCAACTGTAGTTTAGGTCCTGTTGGATATGCCTCCCGTTATTATCTGATGTATGTTTTTCTGTTTGTTTTCATGTAGAGCTGGCACGGCGTGACAGGGAGAGAAGGGAAAGAAGACAGAGGTGGGTCTGGGGCTCGATTGCTGCTGCTTTAACTCTTGGTACTGCAGCCTTGGCATACTCTTATATCCCGTCTGGTAGGGGATCGCCAAACTACGATTCTGAGGTTCCTGAGAGTCATAATGCAGGCAAATGATAATCACCTTATGTAGCAACCTGACCCTATGCCATTTAACAAAAGGAGAGAATAAAAGGTCTTTTATACTCCACACCCTTTGTGGATTACATTCTCTTGCTCTTTTACCAGTTAGAGTTTCATTTTATCTGAGGATGTACAGTTCTACAAAAATAATTCAAGTTTTGCCCGTCACTGGCATTTGGGAAGGTTTATAGATCATGAATAGGATCAGAATTGTTTAAAGTCTACATTTCAGCTTCAGGATGTCTTGAAGCGTTTATACGCCGTTTATGCGCACGTAATTTGCTGCCATTTAAGTTTTGCTCTGATTTACTTATTTTTGTTATGTGTAAGGTATTTTGAAAATTCATAACAGGCTACAGGAACATACAGGTATCAGTTTCTTGGTGCCCTAGTAACTTGAAATGTGCTTTTTCATGGTGCTCCACAGCCCTATCTAAATTCCAACTGACGGGAAAATGCCATTATATCATGCAGTTTCACTTGCCCGTTTCGAATACGGCTATATGTTTATGCAGTTTTCCAGTTAAACTGATGATGGTTGCCATTTGTTTATCAATTCTTTCTTGTAACATAAGAATGCAAGTGTTTCCAAATATCAAAACCAAAACTTAATTACACTTTCAGGTATGCCATAGCTGTGCAATAGCTGTAGTCCAGTCTATGAATGTCGTCAATTTGCCCCATCTTTTAAATTGTTTGATATATCAAGATGGTTTCCGAAGAGCGTTTTTGTGGTTCATAGGTTTTAGCCTAACCTTGAAAGGTATGTTATAATCACCAAAAATATGTACATTTCTGAGTTTAATACGAAGATTGTCTGTATGAGAGAGATGGATTAACCACATATTTAGTGTGATAATCAAATATTATTATATAAATGAACGACAAGTTTATGGTTTAGGGTACAGTAAAGAAACGAGGTCAAAGTCAAAGACAATAAAGAAAAACTGGAGAAAAAAAACAGGGTCAAACGACGTCGCAACAAATTTATCCACTTGTGGAAGATAAAACAGAGTGGAAGAGTTATCAGAGACACTGGAGCTCCGACAATGGAGCTAACTCTACACATGTCCGCTTCTTTTTGCAGAGAGAACTCTCTAACCCATTACTGCCACTCCAATTTCCTAACAACCCAAGAGTACCAAAAGACTCTTTTTCCTCATGTTACCAGAAAATCCCAATTGCAGCAGCCTAAGAATCGAATAAACAGGACTTCGAAACTTGTGGTTTCAACCACAAAACAACGGCTTTGGATTAGCGAACAACAGCAAGGCCAAGAAGAAGAAGAAGAAGCTGAAGATGATGAAGAAGAAGAGTACGCTTATTCGGAGGACGAGTCATCATTGTTGTCTCTGAGTGAGAAGCCTGACAGGAGCATGGCTTTGCTCGATGAATATGAGATAGAGGAGCTTGACTATGCCATCGACCCTAACCATAGAAGTGGTAAAAGTCTCTTCTGGGCTTTCTTTAATTTTGTTTTTGAAGGGCTATGTGTTTGTTTCGTAGTTGTGAATTTCATTGAGTCAAATGCAGGGTATGTGGCTGTTCTGGGAAAGCCAAATGTGGGAAAGAGTACTCTTTCAAATCAAATGGTTGGTCAGAAGTTGTCCATAGTTACTGATAAACCTCAAACTACAAGGCATCGAATTCTTGGTATATGTTCTGGCACAGACTATCAGGTTTGGGTTTTTTTTTTTTTTTGTTGAAATTTTAGCTGGTATTATTATTTGTTTTGTTTCAGTTGCATTTTGTATAAGTTATTGACTTCTTATGGAAAAACTGTGAGAAATGTATAAAAGGAAACATAGAGGAAATGGTACCTATGGTAAAGTTTCTGAGGTTGGGGGAATACCCACGTGTGGTTTCCCGAGCAGTGTTTTTGCTTCTGTATTCATATTTTAATGTTCAAGATTTAAATTTGTGAAGGATAGTTTATGGTCCTGGGTTTTAGTTATCTCGTTTGATTTAGAGCCGACTAGTCAAATCTTCTTTTGGACACAAGTAGTACCTTCTTGATGCTTTCTGGAGTTGTGATGATATCTTTGACATAATGATTTGTTTGCAGATGATACTTTATGATACACCAGGTGTTATCGAGAAGAAAATGCACAAGTTGGATTCTATGATGATGAAAAATGTTCGCAGTGCTGTCATTAATGCAGATTGTGTACTTGTTCTTGTTGATGCATGTAAAGTGCCTGAAAAAGTATGCTTCTTCATTTGTAGGATTGTATATGAAACTTATTCCTCTTGTCCTTAGATAATTTTCTCGTTTCTAGATCGATGAAGTGTTGGAAGAAGGTGTTGGTAACCAGGCAGATAGGTTGCCGCCCACTTTGCTGGTGATGAATAAGAAGGATTTGATTAAACCTGGTGAAATTGCAAAGAAACTAGAGGTCAGTATATGTTTATTTATAAATTATATCTATGTAGGCATTTATAATTACACATGTAATTCTGGATCTTCTTGTTTCAGCTACTTTTAAAAAGCCTAAGTAAGAATCACATTTTTGCAGTGGTATGAGAAATTTACAAACGTTGATGAGGTCATACCTGTGAGTGCTAAACATGGGCAGGGAGTGGAAGACGTCAAGCATTGGATTTTATCAAAACTTCCTTTTGGGCCAGCATATTATCCAAAGGTACTTCAAATTTCATGTTTTAGGTTCATGGTTACCTTTCTTTCCTTTTGAAACTAAAGTCTTGAATGGTGTTCCTGTTTTATGGTCGCCAATGTTTTATTCTTGCCTTATCCCAACCATTAGGAGTCGGGTGCAGAAATTGCATGAAGGTTATGAATGTCTTAAGACGATTTCTACAATACATCGCTTTATAAGGGTTACATAAAATTAAACAAGAGCAAGTTGCTTCAATTGTAAAGTTTCTGGCTTTGGTTTTATAATGCTTTACGTCCTAAAGAAGAAAGCTACATTGGTGTTAAACTTTTGAAAATTAGTTCCTTTGAAGCATGATCAAATATCCGTTCCATATTCAAATTCGTTGTTTCAAATTAATACCTCTTAAAAATATCCAAAAGTGCTATTTTCATGTTTGGAAATACTTATCTTTGGTCTCTTTCTCTATGAGTTCTCAGGACATTGTCAGTGAGCACCCAGAAAGATTCTTTGTATCTGAAATTGTTCGAGAAAAGATCTTTATGCAATACCGTAAAGAGATTCCTTATGTGTGTCAGGTATGCAGTTGAGAAGCTCAAAAGATTTGGCTTGTGAGGAAGAGTACCCCATCCCTAGAGGGAAAAAGAAAAAGGATTATAATATTTCTAGTTTCTCTGCTCTTTTTTCTATTAAATTTCCAGGTGAATGTCGTGAGCTACAAAACTAGGCCAACGGCAAAAGATTTTATACAAGTGGAAATTGTCGTTGAAAAGAACTCGCAGAAGATCATTGTTATTGGCAAAGTAAGTAGTTAACCTTTGTAGTATTTTGTTGGCTTGTTTAAACCATTATGAATTAATATGCTGGAAGACGAAATTTTCAAATGTGTTGTGCTCATGCTTGCAAAAAGACATGCAAACTGTATTGACATTAACTATTTTTATTTTCTTGATAAAAGATTTAATATGGTGCATATGTGATATGTTTGCACAAAGACATGTATCACACAAAGTTATAGAGCTTTTACATGCCATCACTGTAGGAAGGGAGAGATCAATCACTGATTTTGTATCCTGAATTATTGTAGGAAGGGAGAGATCAATCACTGATTTTGTATCCTGAATTATTGTAGGAAGGGAGAGCTCTGAAGCTACTTGCAACAGCTGCACGACTTGACATAGAAAATTTTTTACAGAAGAAAGTTTTTCTGGAGGTGCCAAGCTATACCATGACAATCTTTGGGAATCTTTCTGCATAAACTATGTTAAATTTCGTTTAATTGGGCTTTGTCCTGCACTCTGTGCATTCTGTCATTATGGCTTGTTCAGCTGCTGCATTATCTTCACACACTTTTACTGGGTTTTGTGTCCTATATAGAAAATTTATAAAATAACTCACGCTTTGAACAGGTTGAAGTGAAGGTTAAAGAGAACTGGCGGCAAGATGAAGTGCTTTTGAAGAATTATGGCTATGGAGGTCAAATTCAAGCATTATGATGTCGGCCAGTGGAGAACACAAGTGAGGATTGCCGTATCATTTAAGTTCCATGATTGTATGTCATCTCTGAAATGGTTTTGATGTTGTTGATTAGCATGTATGCCTCCCATTTCTTTTTGTTGGCTGGAGTAAGGTGTAGTAGTAATCTCACTGGGAAGATAGTTTCAAGCATTCCTGTAAGCATGGCATGGCATTTTCCCAAGGCCAAGATTTTGTTACTTATTAGCCCCCCAAAAAAAGGTTTAGTTATTTGCAGAACTCTCTCTCTCTCTCTCAAAGAGCCTTGGGCCTTGAGCAATTCTATGGATTTATGATGCGAGTAGGAGAGCCCAGTGGTAAGTTTCAGTTTTCATTGGTAGCCCATCAGAAAGCTTTAAGCCTAGTTTTGGAATCTGATCTTGTTCAGCCCAGGCTTTGTGAAGCTTACCTCCATATGCGCATGTTAGTATTGTGCTTACTGCAATGAGCAAACACACGCAGAATGGCCCAGAACATGGAAAAAACTTACCTAAAATAGGAGAAACACTTGCGTGAAATGGAGATAACATTATTTTGCTATTTCCGGCCAATAATGCTACGATATGTGTGATAAGTTTTTCACGTGGCATAACATTATTGGCTGGAATAGAAAAATAGTATTATTCCCATTGCAACCAAGTTTTTCTCCTATATTAAGGATACCACTGTAGTGTTAGTCACTGTCGGTTCATATAAGTTCTTCTCTAGAACATTGGATGCTTCAAATGGTTGCATGATGACAGGCCTCATCACTTTTAGTGCATGGCCAGCCACGGATTTGGCATGCCACATGTCACCACCATGTCAAGATCCGCATATGTTGCCAATTCAATGTCGGTCAGAAGATAAAGAGTAAATGCTGAGTGAAAAGACTTACCCAAAAAAAAAATGTGGCATCCCAGAAACACCAAAAAGAGAGTAGGACCATGTAAAAGGGTATTAGATGCTTCTCTTCTCCTCACATGGACTAAAAATGCAACATCAACAATGTTAATGCGTATGGTTGGATTAGATAGACACATTAAAAGTTAAAAAATGGAATATTGAAGAAGGAATTAGTACCCCAACAGCCAAAACTACCATTTTTGTTCTGTTCTACGCAATTGATGATGTAGGGCTCACGGGGTTTACAAGATCATGGCCACTCATCTGAGGATCGGAAATTTAGCCATGGACAAAGAGTTAAACGAAAAGGGAAACAAGCTTTAGTGCTTTTCATTCTTTTCCAGCATTAGAATTTGATCCCACAAATTTAGTGCATAAAAAAGATTGAAACTTGCAACACAACTACTATGAAACAAGTACTGTAGAGGATGAGCTTGTTAGGTAAAATTAACCTAAAGGAGAAAGTGGGAACATCATTGCTCTGTTAAACTGATTTGAGTACTTTTTCTTTCTTTTCCAAGGAACCCCACATGTTGGGCATGCAGTTCCATGGTCATAAAAAGGTGAGAACTTGGTTTCTCGTTAATTATGACAGGGCACTAAATAGCAAGGGGTCTAGCAAATCAGTTTTTAGGATCACACCATGATCTTGCAGCTAGGAACAGGTAGCTGAGGGAATGAGTAGGACCAAAATTTAAATGGTTTGTGCCCTGCAATGTTGCATTAAAGCTAAGGCTTGTGCATAGGAGTAAAACTTCCATGTAACATGTTTTATACTCCTTTTCTCTTTATCTCTCACGTGATGAAAGAGACGAGAGAAAGGTATGTGAAACGTGAGATAGGCAAGTTTATTTGCTGTGCATAGAGTAAATTTGGGTTAAGAAATTTACCATCAGGGCACAGGTAGTTTCATTTTCGGGATTGTTCAGCTCAAAGGGGCACCAGTTATTGGCAGTTTCTCTCTTGTGTCGACTACTGTTTTATTTTTCTTTATTTATTTGTAGTTGTAAGAAGACAATTCTCATCTTCAGGCTTTATCCAACTTCCTTTAGCTAAGGATTCGGTGCTCCACATTAAGAGAGATGAAGCATCTAGCTTTGGCTCTTTTTTTAGCTATTCTGATCCACCAACAAGGTTTTCCCATCCATGTTGAAGCAGGTGATGGCTTCATCAGAACCAGGGGAGTGCATTTTCTTTTGAATGGTAGCCCATACTATGCAAACGGCTTCAATGGCTACTGGTTGATGTATGTGGCTTCTGACCCATCTCAGAGGTACAAAGTTTCATCTGTTTTTCGTGAAGCAACTAGCCATGGGCTCACAGTGGCTAGAACTTGGGCTTTCAGTGATGGAGGTTACAGGCCTCTTCAATACTCCCCTGGCTCCTACAATGAGCAAATGTTCAAGGTTCCTCTCACACTATGCTTAATTGTTTGTTTGTTTTTTTAGATCTTTAAATATTGCACTGATGGTGATTTTAGAACCCTTTTTTCAATTCTTATTTTGTTTTGTGTTGGTTTGAAGGGGTTGGATTTTGTTATAGCTGAGGCCAGAAGGTATGGGATTAAGCTGATATTAAGCTTGGTGAACAACTATGAGAGCTTTGGTGGAAGGAAGCAGTATGTGAACTGGGCAAGAAGTCAGGGGCATTACCTGACATCTGATGATGATTTCTATAGAAACCCTGTTGTTAAGGGTTACTACAAGAACCATGTAACTGTAAGTGAAAGTGCATATTATATGATTCTTATCGGATTTTAGTATGTTTATTTATTCATTTTGGTCTGGAAATGATTTCTGTGGAGGAATAACAGTCTATGATGAGCCTTTTCTTTTCAATTCTAATTTGAATAAACTTTTTTGCAGACTGTTCTTAACAGATATAACAGCTATACTAGAGTTCATTACAAAGATGACCCAACAATTATGGCCTGGGAGCTTATCAATGAACCTAGATGCACATCAGATCCTTCAGGAAGGACTGTTCAGGTTAAAAACAAGCTCTTTATCTAATTTCATCCTGCATATCAATATTCAATATCAGGGAAATTTTTAAGAATCTTCAATTTGCTTTCTTTTTTAGTTTATTCTGTTACTAAACCAAGTTTCCTAGGAAAGTAACAAGGCTAGTTCTCTGCCTTAACCAACAGCAGTCTATGAATAAATGGTACAGATGGCAAAATCTTGATGTATAGAGCGAACTAATTACTAATTGCAGCTTCCTTTTTTTCTTATAAATCTGTTATGCATTGCTCTTTTAGGATGGCTATTCTTTATTTTGCACTCTTTTCATGCCAAATTTTTACTAATTGGTGTTCATAACAGGCTTGGATAATGGAAATGGCTTCTCATGTGAAATCAATAGACAGAAACCACTTGCTGGAAGCTGGTCTAGAAGGATTTTATGGACAAGCAATACCTCAGAGGATGAGACTCAACCCTGGTTTCAATATAGGAACAGACTTTATTGCAAACAATCGGATTCCCGGCATCGATTTTGCAACAGTTCACTCTTATCCTGATCAATGGTAAATATGCTACTTGCAGGATCTCTTCAACTTTCATCACCCATAAAAGAGTATATATAAGTAAAAAGACCTAGTGCAGGTTAAAACACTCTCTAATGTCCATTTTCAAATGCATATAACTAGTACTTAATTTCATAAGGCTCAATGTTGTCAATTATAACATAGCTTTCCTTAGTTCAACTTCCTGACTGGTGTCTTTTTACCATGTGTTGCATGAGCAGGTTGTCTAGCTCAAATGATCAAAATCAGCTCTCTTTCTTGAACAACTGGCTCGACACCCACATCCAAGATGCACAATACATTCTTCGAAAGCCGGTGTTCATCACAGAATTTGGGAAATCTTGGAAAGATCCTAGTTTCAACACCTACCAAAGAGACTTGCTCTTCAACACTGTGTATTCCAAGATATACTCTTCAGCAAGAAGAGGAGGAGCAGCTGCTGGGGGCCTATTCTGGCAACTTCTCACTGAAGGCATGGACTCGTTCGGTGATGGGTACGATATAGTTCTGAGCCAGAGTCCCTCAACTGCAAATGTAATTGCTCAACAATCTCACAAGCTCTATCAGATCAGGAAGATTTTTGCCAGGATAAGAAATGCTCAGATGTGGAAAAGGGCAAGGGCCATTAGAAGGGCTGAATGGCTGGCTAGAAACAAAGGCAAGCGTATAGGAAATTGATCGAATGCATTACCTTGTGAGGTTGCTGTATGGTTTTACCTCTTAGAGATGATTCAGACGAATGTTTTTTTCGTCCAGGAGGGAAATTTGTGTCACCTAGTATTGTGCTTTTCTTTCCCCTGCATATATTTATGTTATGAAGTGTGAACTGAGTCGTTTAGGCAGAGTTTTCTGATTTATAAAGTCAAACTTGTTTATTTCTTTCTATCAATCTTGTAATGTTGCTGCAAAATGAAACAGATAACTTATTCTTGGGGTACTTGCTCTTTGTGCGATAAAATCACAAAGCTAAAGGATTGGAGAACTTATATCATAAGCGGTAGACTAGTTTGTAAAATCAAATTGGCAGATATGAGTAAGTATAGTAAAATGTGAGCATCACAAAACCTCTTCATGTGCGGCGTCACTCAAGCCAAATGCATGAGTAATATATATTATTGGGTGACGTGAATAGCATGCTTCAATACCATATTAAAATATGAGCATTCAATCCAAAATGAATTGGCAATTGGTGGAGAAATCTAAGATCACTAATGCAAGATTTTCATCTCCGATGATTATACTTCTGAAAAATACTTAACCTCCTTACTCGTAACGAGTCATTTCTTCTGACTCACTTGATGTGGCTTCCATTTAAGGCAATTAAACCACAAAACGATCAACATGGTTAGTTTCATCAACAGTAACCAGCATACCATTATAGCAACAACAAAAAAACAAACAAATAAGGCTTCTATCAATTCAACTTTATAGGCACTGAGATTGGGCTAGCCCACAGTTTGTGGGCTTCAAAACCAGTGGGCAAAATAACCGCAAAAAAGAAAACATTCGCACTTCTAAAACTTGGGCGCCAAATGTTTCGCATGGTCGCTCAAATAACAGAGCATTGGTCTTATGTGCAGCAAAAATACAGAACATGATTTTATCAATTCGACCTCATATTCGAGGAATATTTACAGCTTCGGCCTTTGCTCACAAAGAATGTAGAAACCTTCTGGTTTCCGAGGGAGAACCAGACCAGCTAGGGCAGAATACCCATTTGGGTAGTCATGTAGATATGCTTGAACTAAACGCTCAACTGAAGCAGCTAGTTAAAGTCGGTAATGTGGGAGAGGCTCGGAAAATGTTCGATAAAATGCCTCAAAGAGATGAGATTTCCTGGACCAATATGATTTCAGGTTATGTTGGTGCCTCTGATGCCTCCGAAGCGTTGGCTTTGTTCTCAAACATGTGGGTTCAGCCTGGACTCTGCATGGACCCCTTTGTTCTTAGTGTTGCACTCAAGGCTTGTGGACTTAGTTTGAACTTGTCTTATGGGGAACTAGTTCATGTGTATTCGATAAAATCGGGTTTTGTGAATTCAGTCTTTGTGGGCAGTGCTCTTCTTGACTTGTATATGAAGATTGGTAAGATTGAGCAAGGATGTAGAGTCTTTGACCAAATGCCGATAAGAAATGTGGTATCTTGGACTACCATTATAACCGGGCTTGTTCGTGCCGGTTACAATGTGGAGGGTTTGGAGTATTTTTCTGAAATGTGGAGGTCAAAAGTGCAGTATGATGCATATGCGTTTGCTATCGCATTGAAGGCATGTGCTGATTTGGGTGCTTTGAATTATGGCAGAGCGGTTCACACACAAACAATGAAGAAAGGGTTTGATGAGAACTCATTTGTAGCCAACTCTCTTGCTACCATGTACAATAAATGTGGCAAATTAGACTATGGGTTGCAGTTGTTTGCAAAGATGAGGACCCAGGATGTTGTTTCATGGACATCAATCATTACAACATATGTTTGGACAGGTCAAGAGGACCTTGCAATCAAAGCATTTATAAGAATGCAGGAATCCGGCGTGAGTCCTAATGAATACACTTTTGCAGCCGTTATCTCTGGATGTGCCAATCTAGCTAGAGTTGAATGGGGTGAACAATTACATGCCAGCGCTTTACACATGGGTCTTATCTCTTCTTTGTCAGTAGGAAACTCCATTGTAACCATGTATTCCAAATGTGGTCGTTTGAATTCAGCTTCTAACGTGTTTAACGAGATGGGCATAAAAGATATTGTTTCATGGAGCACTGTAATTGCAGGGTATTCTCAAGGAGGTTATGGAGAAGAAGCTTTCCAGTATTTGTCATGGATGAGAAGGGAAGGACCAAAACCAAATGAGTTTCCTCTTGCTAGTGTATTGAGTGTTTGTGGAAGCATGGCAATGCTTGAGCAAGGGAAGCAATTGCATGCTCATGTCCTGTCTGTTGGTCTAGAGTGTACATCTATGGTACAAAGTGCTCTAGTCAATATGTATTCGAAATGTGGAAGTATAAAAGAAGCTGCAAAAATCTTTGATGTGACAGAACATGATGATATTATTTCATGGACAGCCATGATTAATGGATATGCTGAACATGGGTACTACCAAGAAGCCATTGATCTGTTTGAGAAGATTCCTAGTGCTGGTCTGAAACCAGACTCGGTCACCTTCATTGGTGTTCTTGCTGCTTGTTGCCATGCTGGATTGGTTGATCTTGGTTTCCACTACTTCAATTCGATGAGAACTAACTTTAGGATTAATCCTTCAAAAGAACACTATGGCTGCATGATTGATCTCCTCTGTCGAGCTGGACGGTTAAGTGAGGCAGAACATATGATCAAAAGTATGCCCTTTCACCAGGATGATGTTGTTTGGTCTACTCTGCTTAGAGCATGTAGGCTCCATGGTGATGTTGACTGTGGAAAACGTGCTGCAGAGGAGATTCTTAAATTAGACCCAAATTGTGCAGGGACTCATATAACCCTGGCAAATATGTTTGCTGCCAAAGGCAAGTGGAGGGAAGCAGCAGATGTAAGGAAAATGATGAGATCAAAGGGGGTAGTTAAGGAGCCAGGATGGTCATGGATAAAGGTCAAGGATCGGATTTCTGCATTTGTTGCTGGAGATAGGTCTCATCCACAAGGTGATGATATATACAGTGTGTTGGAATTACTAGCTTCAAAGACAGAAGGCACTATTCAGGAAATGAGGTCTTCATTAATTGATGTTGAAGGTTAGCATTTAGTCGATTGGAAGTTAAAAAGTTTATTTCTCCAATTTGATGAAGCTAAATCTGAGAGTTGCAGATGAAAAGTTCTGAGGAGAAGCTTCAAATTCAATACATAAATTACAAGCAAAAAGTCCAGTTTTTCGTCCATAAGTTTATACTCGACCAAGGATGTGAAACGAAGCTTTGTTTAAGATGCATCTAGTTATGTGGAGATCCTCTTAAGACATGGCCGTGGCTCAAGGATAAGCATTACTGAAGACATGCAAATCTGAATCCAGAGTCACATTGAAAGGTCAAGCATTACTGAAGACATGGAAATTTATGAACTGGTCTCTTCCAAGAAAATGCACACGCTTGTGTGGAAGGTTTTGGACTTTTTCACCACCAGAGGACCAATTTATAAGTTATATTCATGAAATAACTGTTTGCTTGAGTTTTGCATCTTCTGTCACTCATCTAAATGCAATCTTCTTTTTCTTATTTTGCTGTAAATATTTTTTACTTATTTTTGGGCAATTTATAACATTTGTAACTGTATAGTTGGAACATGCTCAATACCATGCATATTGATTTCGGTACCGAATAGTGAATTTGTATACATTTCTACTTCTCTGAATGACATTGAACAGAAAAGAGAAATTGAGAAGCATTTGAGGAGATCAATTTGTGATTAGAACTGAAAAAAGAAATGCATCTTACCATTATTATCTATCAGTTTTCGGAGTTCACCGTTCATTCCTGAGCCAATGACGAATTACGTATACAAGAAATCCTAGGCAAAACCCAGCAGCCCCCAAAGCTATAACTATTCGAACCCATAAAGAGGAAATAAATGCTTTATGCACAAAAGCATTCCATAACAACAACCAAAGAATGGAGAAAATGGTTCCAAATGTAGCACCCACAACCACTTGGCTGAGTGTATGAAGGTTTTGCGAGACTCGTAACCATGACTGCAAAGACAAATCACAAAGATATGCATAAGCAATATATCCTTTCAGTTCTGTTTTCTTCAAATCAACTAAAGCAGTTTGAACACTCAAATATGTAAGCCAAGCTTCAAAGCATCATTTAACTGAAAGCAGAGCAAGATTGAGTATGAATACTTACAAGATATATCCCAGTTGCTAAGGCAAAAGCACCGATGGTCAAGGTAATCTCATTTATCCCTAGCCATTCCACAACTGCAATATAGCACACAGGCAACAGAATTAGATGAGAAAATAGAGGTAACAAATTCATATTTTACTAATACAAACAAGAAATCTACGTGCCAATTCTCATTAGGACCAACAAGAAAGCAGCATGCCATTTGTTCTCGTTGAATTATGGGAATAATTTTATTCATTTTCAAAACCTTTCACGGTATCAAAACTGAGACGAAGTCATAGCAGAAAATGAGCTAAAGATGATACTCTTCTACATACAGCATGGTAGACTAATGTGATGCCCATAAAAAGTGTCTATTTTCTCTCAAATATTTCTGTGACTACAATTTGAAAATTTAAAAGTTCAGTCTTAGTATTCTCCCCATTAACATTGCTGCATATTAGGGAATGGACCAACAATGTACATCAAGCAAACACTCTACATCAACTTGATTATAGTAGTTTACACCAATCAGCATATTTTAAGTTTCAAGCATACCTTAAATCTCTCCAAACCAATTTCATTTCAGAAGTGCTCTTAAACTCAAGAGGAATTAAGAGAGATTACCTGACCAAATTGTGAACAAAACAATGTAGAAGATAGATTGTGCATGGGAAGAAGGCATTCCAGGCTCAGATCTCAATGAGGGAACAGGTCTCTCCTGGTTTAGTATCTTTTTGAGTGCCCCAGATAGAATGGTATTTGCAACAGACCCCATAGCAGCCCACATGGCTTCAGCATCATGCCTCCATAGAATCACAACAGCAAAAACGGCAGATATAATCCACTTGCTCTATATCCAACAGAAACCAGCCACTAATATCATAAGAACAAATACTAAAAAAAGAACAAATAAAAAGAAAAATCAGAATGTTGATAAAACACAAAACAGGCAGAATGATTGGATTGGAAACCCAGAACTCTCATCATAGAGAGCTTTGAAATGAAACAAACCCTGTAAAACTAAGAGGAAATTAGAAATTACCAACCAGTCGATTGAGTGTAGATTCCCACC